TAGCGGGTATCCCGGGGTTCCCCGCCACTCCCCTTTCCCGCCGCCCCACCTCGTGTTTACCCGCTTGCGGGGTGCTGTGTGCATGCCTTCCCCAAACTTTTTCACTGGATTTACATGTTTTCTTTCCCAAGCCTCTGCCGAGTCTTGGAAGTTGACACCCGCTCCCTCTGTCCAGCTCAGCCGCCGTCCCGTTCAGCCCGGGGAATCCCCGGCCGGGCCGGGCCGGGCCGGGACCTCCTCCCGGACAGCTTTTCTCCCTCGTTCCACCTCGGACGTTTCCCCCGTCCAAGTGGGGGAGACAGAAAGCGGAGAGAGCAAACAAAGTCCGCTTACAAAGCCCCCGATGAGTCATTCTTTGGGGTGTTGATCTTCACTTTTTGCAAGAAGCTTCACAGTGACGGCAGCCCATACGTTGGCCAGCCTCTCGCCAGCCCGCTTTAGGTGGGGGACCCCGATTTGGAAGACTTGGGCTGGAACTTACATTTTTCTTGCTTCGTTTCTATTTGCAAACGAAACACTTAGTGGGCAGTAGTGCTGAGCTCACGGAGAAACTTCGGCACCGGAGGAGGTTAGGAAGCTCGTCACTTTAAGTGCGTTCTTCCCGCCTCTCGGAGTTATTTTCCTACTTTGAATAACTTAGTGAAATCCCAAACGCTCTTGAGACCTTTTGGAACTAACCAGGAACGGATGCAGAATTTTTAGAAACTTCTCCCAGCCACTGGACCCATCTCAGTAGAGCTAATATAGGACATTGGAGAATGCAAACATTACCCATTGTGTAGTGCTGCTGGATTAATTTCAGACATGTAGTCTTTCAAATGTGAGTAGTTTGATTTTTAAGTAGTTGTTGAAATAAATTCAGGCTTCTTAAAATTGAAGATACTCAAAAAAGTGGGGGACTTACAAACTTCCCCACTTTCTTATTCTTATGTAGGATTGTTTTATCCGAGCTTGATAATTGCATTAAACGAAGTTTAAAATGCGTTGGAAAATAATTGACATATAGCTAGCTGCCATCCAGGTTGGTGTAAAGGTGACAAATGTCTTCTGTAGGAAAAGCTTTCAAATGATCACTTTAAAATATGGGATTAATAGGCTATTGAAGTGATTTTAATGTGAGGAATGAATTAAATTTACCATATTAAATGTTCTGTCTATAAACTTAATGGAGATTGAAACATAACAGGAGTTCTTTATGTAAAGGAAAAACCCAAACTAATTGTTGGAAAGCTAGTTGAAAAATTGTTTGGAATATTTTCATTATTCTTTTCCTGGATAAAGCAAATGCCAAGCATTTATTATTGATAAACTGTTTAATTCGATTTTATATTATTTAATTTTTTTCAGCTATTAAAATCATTTTTTCCACCTGATGGAGAAGTGTGAAAGCTCATATTTGATCCTGGGCTTGGCAATGTGTGCAGTGAAAATTGTTGGAAAACTTATAATTTAGAGCTGAGGACAGTTGGATGGGTAAAGAGAATATTTCAGTCTTTTCTATGGAAAGGTATGAATATTATGGAAAGGTATGAATAGACTTAGTTCCAGTTTTAAGTAATTTTCACTGGGAAAATGGAGACTTAAACTCTCTTGTTTTGTTTCCTGGAGCAGTCTATTGAATTTGTAGTTTAAAACAATTGAATACATGCTTGCTTTCCAGATAACCTGGTGGAAAGTGAAAGCCATACTTATTAAAATGTTTGATGGATGATTCTTCTAACAGGACATTCAAGATATGACTCACTGATGCTAATTTGTTTCAGTACAAAATCTTTTACCCTCTGGCACTGGAGATTTCATGGTGCCATATCCTACCACCTGGGTGATGAAATAACATTTCTGTTTTGTTTTTTTGCCAATCCCAGAAAAAGGAAGGTTTGGGAGAGTTTAAAAAGCCTTTGATTTGATGATACTAGCAAAATAAAAGTCTACCCAGAAGTTATGCATATATTTTAAATCACTTAACTAAAGGCAGGCGGTGGTGGTTATTTCACTGCCTCTCCCCGAGAGAGCAAGTTGGGGAAACCCACTTCCCCTCTTAGAAGGCTTCATGTAGAAGTGTGGGGATCCTAGGAATCCTCAGAGAGATTTCCGTAGTGGTCGAGGCATTCTACAGCATTTCACCCAGGAAGCAGGGACCTGGTGTGACCCTCTTGTGAGAGTGAGCTTCAGCAATGCTGTAAAAATACTTTATGTTGCCACAGACATCTGAGTTGGTAAAATGGCAGTAAGTGCTTTTAGTACTCCATCAAACTAATGGTTGTTTAGAATCGAAAAATGCCTCTAAACACTAAGTCTGAACTTTGCCCAGAAGATTTGCATTCCCTATTATCTGATCTGTTGCCTTTGAAATTGTATATCTTGAGCTATCTTCAGCTATTAACCGTTTGTATACTGTATGGAAAGTTGGGTATCCTACAGCCAGGTTGGAAAGGGGTAAGATTAGTGTTCAGATTCTGTAGTTTCTACTAATGTCATCAGGGTAAACACTGACATTTACATGAGCTCCAAAAGTGGACTATAATTCAGTAAGATCACTAAGTCCAAAAAGATACTCATAAGTAAATACACAATTTCTATGAACAGTTCTAGGACTCAAAGGGAGATTCAAGCAAAATTATTAAATTGAAATTGGTACCTTTGGATACCATACCTCCCAATGATTGGGGGGAGCCTGGAGCTTAGCTGTTGTGCTGCCATCAAGTAAGTAAATATGGAGCAATGATAGATGTTCTTATCCATCAGGGGAGGAGCTCTGTGTGAGTGTGTGTGTCTTTCTCTTTTTTTCCCCCTCCTTAATCAAGTTAACTGTTGAACTAGTGGTTATACAATGAGAAGGGTAAATAAGTGTTTGGAGTATCTAAGATGATGGGATGGGCTCTTCCTAGGACGTTGTATGCTTAAAGTATTTGGAACTATGAACCTCTGAGTGCATGTATCCGTTTAGGATTACAAAACTCCAGCATAGGGGCTTGGGCTCACTGTCAAGAGTTTCAAAAATAATGTTGGTAAAGTACAACATATTAGGAAGAACTATTTCAGGAATTTTTTTCCATCATTTCCTAAATGTTTATCAGGATGGAGGTATGGAGAATTTTGAAAGAATCAAAACCAAGAGAATAATTAGTCATAAATACCAAGAACCTGATCTATGATGAAATTTTGGTTTCAGTGCAGCTAAAGTAAATTTCCAGACAATGGCCAGCCCCCAGTTTTGGAGTGCAGAAGCACAT